GAAGAGCTGCAGAAGCAGAATGAAATGATGAAGAGCCTGGATCTCTGTTCTCCTGGACCTCATGTGTTTCTGCTCATCATCAACCTGGAGAACTTCACAGACGACCACAGGAACAGTGTGCAGAAAATCCTGAAGATCTTTGGTCCTCAAGCCTTGAAGTTCACAATGGTGCTGTTTACCGGAAGAGAACAAATGACAAAGAGAGAATGGATGCTCTTTATGCTGAGTGCAGAATTTCTGGAGCTAGTCGGTCACTTCAGAGGACAATATCACGCCATCAACAGTCCAAATCAGATTAATCAAGCCCACATCACAGAGCTTCTAGAGAAGATTGAGGAAACTGTCAAGCAGAATAATTACCAGCATTACAACAGCGAGATTTGCTCAATGGCTCGAAAAAAGAGCATTAGAATAAAGGCACCACAAGAGGTAAAGAATGCGTTCGGAGGAAAAAATCCAGTAATCAGACAAAATCCAGCAAAACCAGCCTGGGACAGTATACCCTCTGGCAGTATACTAGAGGACAGAAGAGAGAGTTTGATTGAAGAAGTGAAGGAAAATATACGAGAAAAGAAAAAACAAGTTGAAGAAAACATACACCCAAGATTAAACCAAATGAAAGAAGCAAAACAAGAAGAAGATAAAGCAAAGTCAGAGTCTAATGCAAGAAGATGTATTTTGCTTGAAGAAACAGAGAAGAGCTATGTTTCACATGTCACGCACACTAAGAAAACAACTGAGGACTCATTAGAAACATATCAGGATTTCTCCTGTGAAACGAGAGACAAAACTGCAGGCAGTAAAAATGCTTACTCGCCATTATCAGAAGGTGAGAACTTTACACTTTTTAAATGAATAAATTACTGTAAAATATGATTAACACTGAAAATACATTAAAATTAACTTGTAACAAATCTTTTGAAATAAGCTACATATTTAAAAAAATGGTAGATAGCTATTAGATTGTTTCCCTGCTCTAAACACACATGCACTCTTTGCAAATTAGAAAACAAAAATCTGAATTCAACTAATAAGGGATGATAACTTCAAGTTTAGGGTGACGCAGTGGCACAGTAGAAAGTGCTGTCACCTCACAGCAAAAACGTCGCTGGTTCGAGCCTCGGCTGGGTTAGTTGGCGTTTCTTTGTGGAGTTTGCATGTTCTCCCTGCGTTTGCGTGGGTTTGCCCCAAAGTCCAAAAACTTGCGCTATAGGGGAATTGGGTAGGCTAAATTGTCTGTAGTGTATGGGTATGTGTGTGGATGAGTGTGTTTGGATGTTTCCCAGAGATGGGTTTGTGACTGGAAGGGCATTCGCTGGGTAAAAATGTGCTGGAAAAGTTGATGGTTCATTCCGCTGTGGCGACCCCAGTTTAATGAAGGGACTAAGCCGAAAAGAAAATGAATGAATGAATGAGTTTCAAGTCTTACAATTAAATTAAAGTTTTTAATCATAATACAGAGACATGAAGATTCTGTGCTGTTAGTCTAATTTGCATAAATTAAATTCATCTAGAGACATTTTGCAGTCTGCAACATATAAAATGTTTACAAATTTGAAAAAGTTTATATTATTTAAATATATATATATGTTTTCTACTTAATTCTTCACAGTAATTCCTAATATATTTTGTGTTCTTCTGTTGAAATGTCTTGTTTGTTTTATTTTGGCTTGAATGAAAGCTTTTTATTGTTTTAAATCCATTTTAAGGTCAATATTATTATCCTTAATTTATATTACTATAATTCATAATAATTACTCCAAGCAGCGCAGTGGGTAGCACGATTGCCTCACAGCAAGAAAGAAGGTTGCTGGTTTAAGACTCAGCTGAGTCAGTTGGCAAATCTGAGTGGAGTTTGGTTGTTCTCTCCGTGTTGGCGTGGGTTTCCTCTGGCTGTTCTGGTTTCCTCCACAGTCCAAACACATGCGCTGTAGAGGAATTGAATAAACCAAATTGTCTGTAGTGTATGTGTGTGAATTAGTGTGTATGGATGTTTCCCAATGATGGGTTGTGGCTGGAAGGGCATCCGCTGCGTAAAACATATGCTGGATAAGTTGGCGGTTCATTCTGATGTGGCGACCCCTGATTAATAAAGGGACTAAGCCGAAAAGAAAATGAATGAATGAATGAACTTTATTCCAAAAATATCCGAAAAGTGGCAAAAATATATATTTAAGAAATGATCTCAGTATACCCATGAATAAATAACAAGCTGTGTCATATTTATTCTGTGAATGATCAAAAGTTATTATTTCTTAGTTCTTTCTGACTGCAGTAATGCATGATATGAAAACATTAGTTTTACTTTTCTATTTGGTTGAGCATGATTTTAAGAAATTTGACTAAATATTACACACTAAATATTTTTCATATCACCAAGTAACATGACTTTGTAAAGTTAGGGCTCTTAGAGGGTAATATGACAAAAATAAATGCTTACCTTTTACTTTCACATGGCAGGAGTGATTTCCTTGTTTTTGACTTCAATGGTAGAAGCAATGCTGTGACGAGTGCTGTTGATTGAGTTAGTGACAACTAGTGGAATTTTTGGTATAACACACTTCAAACAGATGGTAGAGATGGCTCAATCAGGTTTAGTTATGTTAGGTATGTTAGTTATGTTAGGTACTCCTCTCAATAAGACATAATAAGTCAAAAAATATGGTCAACAATATGAAGTTTATTTATAAACTAATTTTGAGAGGGTCATGTGCTTATGATTGCTTGCAGCCGGCCCCACATTATTTAATTTATGATTGACCAATCAGACGATTCCCAAGCCACTATAAATACCCTCAGTTCCATATGACAGCCATCTTCGTTTTGAGGAATCCCCCCCTCCACCCCTACTGCTCCTCCTTTTCTAGATGGGTGGTACAGTGGCCCAGTGGCCCAGCAAGAACGTCACTGGTTCTAGTCCGCACCAAGTCAGCCCATGTTTCTGTGCAGAGTTTACACGTTCTCCCCGTGCACACGTTAGTTTCCCATGGGTTCCCCGATTTCCTCCCACCATCCAATAACATGCAACTTAATTTAATTGACTAATCCAAATCAGCACCATAGACATGCTCCTAGTAAGTAGTTATCTCTTAAGAGCGATCACTATCTGTTCATTAACTACTACAGCAGGAGAGTTCTTCAGATCTACCTGAGCTCAAACTCCCCTCTTGCCTTGCAAACGGGAGGGAGCCCGAGGCTCGAGGATCTTATGAGCTCTCTCCCGGGACTGCATGCCAAACCAGCTTTATAATCAATCATCAGCTAAGTGTGAACTCTTGAATTAATTGAGCAGGCAGTTAATGGGTTAAGCAATATTTGTTTTGGATTGTCTACAGAACAAACCACTTTTATACAATGACTTGCCTAATTACTCTATTTTTTATATTAAAAAAAATAATTAAAATATGTGCAGGGCACGTGTGTATACATGCATAAATATATGCGTATATGAATAATATATTTATGTGCACGCATACGCCCACGCACGCAGACATGTGCATTATTTCATAGTGCTGTCACCCTTAAACTCTGGCTATCGCAAAGGTGGTCCTAGAGCTTAAACCCCCTTTTTCCTCAAGTTGGAGTCTTCACTGCCCAAAATTCATTTTCCCAGCCGGAACCAGCTTTTGATAGCTCAACTCTCGAGCTGTGACTGACTTAAAGTTGATTGGCTGTGAAAGATGATTGGCTGAGAGAGTTGATTGGCTGAGACAGTTGATTGGCTGATACAGATGATTGGCTGAGAAAGTTGATTGGCTAAGAATAATGTTTGGCTGAGACAGTTGATTGGATGAGATGGATGATCGGCTGAGACAGTTGATTGGATTCGACGTTTGATTGGCTGAGACTTCTGATTAGCTAAGAAAGTTGATTGGATGAGACGTTTGATTGGCTGAGACAGTTAAGACAGTTGATTAGTTGAGAAAAATGATGGGCTGAGACATTTGATTGGCTGTAACATTTGATTGGCTGAGATGGATGATTGGCTAAGACAGTTGATTGGCTAAGAAAGATGATTGGCTGAGAGAAATGATTAGATGATCAGCTGATTGGATGCAACGGATAATTGGCTTAAAATGATAATTGGCTAAGACAGTTGATTGGCTGAGAGATTTGATTGATCTATAAAACATGATTGGCTGAGACACTTGATTGGCTAAGAAAAATGATTGGCTGAGACACTTGATTGGCTGAGATAGATGTTTAGCTTGGAAAGATAATTGGCTAAGGCAGATAATTGGCTTAGAAAGTTGATTAGCTAAGAAAGAAAACTGGTTAAGACAAAATACGTGGCCTTTGCACATCACCCACTTGAGAAAATGAAGATGACAAGATAATTAGACGGGCTTTATTTGTTAAGAGAGACTTGTTTTCTGCTGTAATTTAAAATGTATTATAAATAATGGAAAACCAAAAAAGAAACCTACTCTACCTACATACCTATGTGCACTAGTGTATACTTCAGTTATGAATCTTGTGATGTTTAAATGAACATGTTTCTGTACAAAGACAAAAAAAGCCTGTAATTTTAATTCAATGAGGAGTGAAATATTTAGTCTCACAATGAAAATCTACTAATAAATGTTTTAAACATATTCTGAATATTCATTTTGATGAATGAAAATGTTTTGGATTGGTTTGTGAGCTAAACATAACTACATTACACAAATATTAAAAGTTGTATTAGATGTGTGTGCTTTTTCTGCATTGCAGCTTTACTTTTTATCTACAGTTCCTCTATAAAAAGTGGATATACTCTTAAATCTTGATGTTGCAATTTAAATACAAAATACCTAGAGAAAGTTTTTTTAGCATCTCATGTTTTAAACAGTGGTATTCCTCTAAAATTGAGAAATTCAATCTTTGCTATGATTTTGCTTAGATTATATGAGATGAGAAGCAGATTAACATGCTGTAGATCTTCAGTGAAATCAAACACAAGAACATCAAATACCAGAGCAGAAAGAAACCAGAACTACAACATTCAAACACCACACAACTGAGAAACAGAGAGGTTTATATACTTAAGGGCTAACAAGGTAATAATGGGGTGGAGACAGTCACTGGATTAAGGGGCGGGATTAAACAAAATGATTAGACATAAAGAAAAAACAAACAAAAACGATTGCTCCATGTTTAAAAAATTCCTGTCCAGAAAGGTCATGTTTTGATCTTCGATTGGTCTAATGCAATCATGTGATGCAATGTCACGGGTAAGAGTTCACCAAGCTTGAACTTTTTAATGCAGTGAACTGTGAAACTTGTCGGACGAGCTTGCGTTCCCGGTCTGACGCATTTGCATGCGTATGAATGGAAGTCTATGGAGAGAAAAGTGCTTCACTCGTTTCCTGCCACCTGCTTTTTATTCCTGCTGATTGCTGGTCCTATATCTGAGTGTCTTTTGTTTCTCTTCTTCCCAGAGTGTTGGGTTCCTTTCTTGTCAGTCTGTTGCTTGTTTTACACCTGTGTTGTCTGTTCAGTTTTCTGGTGCCATCCTGGATTTGGCCTGCCCTGCTGGAGAATCGACCCTCTGCTCTGCCATTGCCTTAACCTGTACAACCATACCTGGACCAAAGACTTCCTTTATTTGGATTCGAATTTAGCCCACACCTGATTTATTTTTCATGTGGTGCTGTTCATTTTTATTGGAGTTAATCCTATGTTCTGACACATTGCCTGTGGTTCAATGGCACTGGGGTGAACCGGAACAATGGGAAACAAAGCAAAACACAACAAACAGGGCTTTTTCATGTTGTGAATCTCTGTTTTAATCGTTTTTATTAAGTATTTATTTTGTTTATTAAGATATTTTGGTACAAAAATAAATGAAAAAATTCAGAAAAACTGAAATGTGACCTTAATAAAAATACAAATGAATTTAACATTATAACAAGAATAAGACTATAGATTTAAATGAACACCACTACACCAATAACCTACAACTCTACCTCAATAAAATACAATTATATCCAGCATGAGGGATGTGAGTATCTATATAAAGTATTATACGGTAAATTGGGATCTTACAGCAAAAAAAGCCAGCAGTCCAAACTCAACAAAGAGAAATAAGATATATACATTAATAACAATAATAAACCACTATGATTACACACATTCATTTTTTTTTTCTTTACCATGCACACATGAACTTTTACAATGCTTTGAAAATGTTGATTCTGAAAATGTAGGCTTTTTCAACATATGTTTATAATAGCTATAAAGCAATAAGATATAAGACACTCGCAATAGATGCAAGAATAAGCATCTAATAAACAAGATATAACAGTTTTTTTTTTTAAGTTTAATCAGCGACAGTTAAATGAAATAGTAGTTTAGCAGTTTTATTAACTATTTGAGCTGATGCTTTTACCTTTTTACCTAGCCTTTATTCTATAATAATTTTTTTCTTTTAATTCTAGTTGGCGTATATACTTATTTTTGCCCTCCATCCAAAAGTTAATGTACATCAATATTATTGATGGATGTAATATTGAGAAACCTGTTTAATACTCTTCTATATAATATAATTTACAGAATGAATATTATTGAATAATATTTATTTTATTACCAGCAGACATAATTTTTTTAAGGAATATAATTTTAACCCGCTTTATTCAGTTGTCATTTTGCTTCATGGGTTTATTATTTTATTGTAGTAGATGCCTCTGTTGGGTTGGAGTTGAGAGTAAAGACATCTGAAGCACTTTGTGTAGTGCTGCTCAACCTGCACACAAATAATGAGACAAAATTAGAGACTTAATGAGAACAATCCCACTCTGAAACTCATACATCTGCATCATACATCCCTGTATATTATTAAGACACTGTCACTTTATCATATTTACAAGCTTTCTGCACTATAAACTGTTTTGAACATTATAAACATCTGCACAACTCTGGTTTGCACTCTTGCCATGTGCCCTTACGTGTAGTTGTATTGTTTACAAATTACATTTTTTTTTACATATATTTTTAGATTATATTATATGTGTAACTGTATTTACTGTAATTTCTTTTTAAAGTTCTACTATTTGTATTAACATTATCTGTTATGCACCTAGGGTCTGAGGGCACTATAATACACCAGGCACTACATGTGTTTTGCGCGATTTGTTGCTATTTTCAGACCATCGCAAACCTAATTTTCCCGCTTTGCACCATGTTGTTTAAATAGTAAATCAATTTGCATCACTTTGTGGACGTATGGGTGTGCTGGTCTAGAAAGAAGGTGTGTTAAGGCGCATTGTTGGTGCGTTGCTATTTTGAGGAACTAAAATAGACCCTGCCATTGTCAAACTGAGAACTGTTTCTAAAGTCCAGCACAGAGCTCCTTAGTTGTGCACCTTAAATGTGTACACATTGCTTAATGCACATAGGATGTACAGCAATACACAAATATCTTTACAGATGAAAACAATTAAAGGATTAAAATATTATAAAAAATTATTATGTTCTACATGAATATAAAAAACACTGCCTCCATGCCTTCCTCATCTTGGGGGGCTTTTTTATATGCAAATTTATATTTGTTTAAAAAAAAAAAACTAGTTAAGATTTGTTCACCTGTCGGGTTTTGGAGAAGTGTGCATCATCTGTATCATCATGGGACATGAGAACAGGACATAACTTATTATTATTTTGTTATTTTTGTTTGGACCACACTTCGTTATTATTGTTCACTTATTCCTTTGCTGGAAATTAGAACTGAATTTAGAAACGAATATTTGCGCTTAACAAACAAAATTAAATATGCAGGCTAATAAATTTCTTCAGTGGAGTGCGTACAACTCTGTTACAACGAAAGTAAAGGAGACAAGTGAAGAGTAAAGTCAAGAGAAAGTAAAGTGGCTGAATGGAGGAGGCTCGTTCTTTATCCTCGTGCTGCAGATGCTCTGTTTAATTGTTTTGTTGTAAATAATAAATTTCCCATGGCATGATGCAACTGCCTCTTAAAGGAATTGTCAGATGAGACTCTGATTGGTTTAATGCAAGTTATGCTCAAAACACACCCACAACTTATTAAGAGAATAAGCTCAACCCTGTTGGACCAAGCGGCCGGGCGCAGAGCCTATTTTTCCATCCGTAAAAATTCAATAGTGGATTCGGACACACCCTTAATGCTTTTGCACCATGCACTAGATCGTTAAAATATAGCCCTGAGAGTAATGCAATTTCCATTCTCTGTATGTCCTGTACATGTGGTTGAATTGACAATAAATCTGACTTTGACTTTTCATGGTGTTTGTTTATAAAAGATGCCCAGGTTTGCATTATCTGAAGTCATGTGAATTGTTAAGATTTTTAAATACTATTTGTCTAAAAACACAAAATGTTTTTTTCTATAGAGCGGGAAATAATGAATTAATCTCATTCTGTGGACAAATAAAAAAAAATAAAAAAAATCCTGAATCTTTTTAATTACAATTAGTAAAAAAAAAAAAAAAAAAAAAAAAAAAAATATATATATATATATATA